TTGTTATGTGATGTCTAGTTTTGGTAGTATTATTGAGTTATGTTGAAGGTATAAGAATTGGTGAAGAGTTAGTGATCAAGCTGATACATGTCAATATCACTCGACTAAGAAGAGGACAAAGACATCATTTGTAGTGCCAAGGGTGTTACTTCATCGGGCATTGAAAAATGAGTTAGTGGATAGGTAGATAAAGAAGTTATAAAGATAGTGAGGTGCTATTAAACTAGAATAACAAGGGAGTACAAGTCTAAAGGAGAACTAATGGTTGATACGTTGAGAGGTGCGCTTGAGAGGTGTGAGGTATACTCATATGAACATATGATGGCTGGTTATTATAGTGATTCGCATCGCTAAAGGAGCAATATTTTGGAAGAAAAATGTGAACTCAACAAAAATAATATGATATAATAAAAAGACCTTTTGAGTTTGAGGATCTTAGCACTAAAAAGTATACTATTCAAGAGAGTACCTAATGAAGATATGGATCTTGGTATTAACTTATGTAAAGCATAGAGGCATAGCTAGGGATAACATAAATAGTCAAATACTTTAAAATTTTGAAGGTTTGGAGCTATGTGAAATAGTTTTTCAAATAGTGATTTGTATTGTAGGATTAGGGTGAGAACATGGTTAATGAGATAAATCATAGTTTGAGAGATTATTGACCAAAAAGTTAGTGGTATGAAGACTTGGTGTGGGAGAGTGAGACTAGTTTCAACTATATGTCGCTGCTTTCATTCGACAAAACCAACTAGTTAAGGTATGTGTGATGATAACTTAAGATATTATATATCACATAATGAGAAACACTAGAGTCAATAATTTAATTACTTGGATGAGTAGTCGGAATAATCATAATGTTTACTTGAGGCTAGTTGGGTATGGTTGAGATCAATAAACTTTTATAATATGTCTAATTTTGTCACAAAACTAGCAGATGATTTTTTGCTAATTATTATTATTGTAATGGTAAAACTATTAATAGTTGTAACGATTATTATTAAAATTATTTCTTGAGTTATTTAGATTGAAGTTACTATCATGGCTAGAGAGTTGTATTACCTATATGTGTAGGAGGTATCTTGTTTGACCCTTTATTGAAGTTCCTATTATTTTGATTACCGTTGTCTTTAGATTTGTAATTGAATTGAGCTGTGATAATTGGTCTCATCTTCACTTTTCTTGTTTCGGATATGTTTCATGATCAATCAACTTATCATATAGTCTTTAAATAATATTAGTGAATCATGTACTTGAATTATTATTGTTGGTTTCTTATATTTGTCTCCTAGGATGTTAGGCGTATGAATAATAACTTCTTCGTCACTCGAAAGGTGACATATTAAGCCAAATCATCTATAATAAATTTAGATTTTATATATGATCAATAATAGTAATTTCCTCTTATGTTATTTTCATCCGAGTAGATAAAAGACTTAGCATACAAGTATGAGAGCAGTTAGTGTAACATGAACTATGCTTTTGCTTTTGTTATAGTGTTTAATGATTAGGATTTGCCATTAGGATAGGTTCTCTTAGTATTTGGATCTTTTCTGGTGGACAACTAAGAAAGTTATCGATGTAGCCTAATATATCATATCTAAATAGGTGATTAGTTAATTGTACTTGCTAAGATGTATAGTTGTTGCATCTGGAGAGCTTGAAAGGGATTAAAGTTGCTATATTAATAGATATAAGCCTTGTAGGTTGAGATGAACTATTGTTTTCTAAGAAAATAATAATTGGAGTATCAGATTGAGGTGGAAAATATATTAAGAAAATGTTGTGATATAATAAGGGAATCCCAAACCAATTGATAATCTACTTTGGATGCACAAATGTAGAGATATAATTTATTAAAGGAGATCATATATGAGAAGTGCACAAGAGAGGATCTGATTTGATAGAAGATATCAGATTTAAGAAATCCATAAAGGAGGATATGATCTAACAGAAGATATTAGTTGTGAAACTATAAGCAATAGAGATCTAAGGAGTCATCGTTCCTAAATCTTCCTTGATTGTAAGCCTTATCGATGACTATGATTGTTGGAGGTGTATTAGTTAGAAGAGTCACCATTTCGGGAGTGACAAGATCAATCTCTGAAGAGTCAACATGTAGTAGGCCCCTATGGTCTAGGAAGTAGAGCACGAACACCTTGTCCACATTTGATTATCTGATCTGGGATGTACATAAGAGGGTGATCTCTTCCTTCCCCCCGAATCCTTCTCTCAATCGCAAGTGTTGATAACGTAAGATGATGAAAGGCATTAGACTATTATTAAGAGATCGACCATGGATCCGAGGCGCTAATGAGTTTGGCAGTTGATGAGAAGGGGACAAGGACACCGATAAAAATGCTAGGTAGTAGTGCCTATTTAGGAGCCAAACACTCACCAAGCAAAACTAAACAACGATGGAGGATCACTAGAAAAGCAAGTCGATCGCCAAAGGAAGTTGATTAGATCAGCAAGGTGGAGTAGACTTGATGTAGAGCATATGACACTAGGAGATCAGTAGGGAGGAGTTACACGTCTTCATCTTTGGTGCAATACTAGAAACCATGGAGAATTTAAAAAAAATTTAAAAATTTAAAAAAATTTAAAAAACCATAAAGAATTGAGAGCTATAAAGTGATAACAGGAAGAGTGAGAAAGAGTGAGCCTTGCTTGAAGCAAAAGGGCTATGATACTATAAAGAATTTAAAAAAATTATTATGGAAAAGATGTTATTATTAATTAAGGTAATATGTATTTGTATAGGTTTTGAGGGAAAAATTCTTCTCTATCATATACTCAAATATATGATTAATCCTCAAATCATAGATTGATTAAAAATTAAAGCACATAAAAAATATAAAATTATCATCTCATACTTACCTGCCTCTATCATGATTATCTTATTAATTTAGAATTGAAGGAAGCAACATAGTTGGTAGAAAGAGATGAAGAAGTGATTGTGATGGGCAAGAACAAAACTCAGGTCATTTGAACCTTTTGAACCTTTCTTTCATGTTCTTTGACTGCAGATTTGTCTCTCTTTTGACGAAAAAATGGTTTGATTGCTGATCACAATTATATTTTGCTCCAGCAGACGTCATCTAGAGAGAACTTCTGCTATCACTGGTGTTCTCACTGATAATTGAGATATGGAGTCATTTCTGTGGGATATTGGCCTGGAAATCCTGAGATATGTCATATTGCAGATAATTGTGATGTGTTTCTTTCTATGAGAATTTAAATCTTTGATGAGAAGCAGAAACAACCAGCAAGGGCACTGCAAAAAATGTAAAGATGTTTCAGGAACAAGCTTCAGTGGAGTCAATTGTAGACTATTCTTGTTTCTGCTGCTGCCTCTTTCTGATTTAGTTGAATGATATCATAGAATATATCACTTCCACAGTGAACAGGAAATCAAAGAAAGAAAATGACAATGTTCCTTGTGTTTTCTTTCTAAAAAGAACATAAAGAAAATGGTGTTATGATGACTGTTGCAGCAAACAATTCTGTGAATATAAAATGCCTCGAGTATATGCTTTTGCTATTCCAATGGTTAAGTTTTCAGGATAAGTATCAAGAAAAACATGTCGACACGATGTTACGTTAATTACTTATCTTATGGAATCCAACTATCCTTACATGCTTAAATTTGATTGTATATATTGAGTATGATCATAACCCCTATTTTAAATAAGATATATCATTATATTCAATAAGTTCGAGGATATTGTATTTGATTTTTCTCAATACGGCTAGTTCTAAAACAACAAGAGCTTACAATTTGTGTTGAAAGCATATTCAACAAGGCTCTTCTAATAATGTTCGTCTTAAAATTGGTTTGAAATACGATAAATCAATATTTTATATAACAAATAAAGTGTTTGTTCATGCTCAAAGTTCAGACCTCTTTTTATGATAATATGCCTTTACCATATATGATTAGGAAAAAAAAATTGAATCTGACTTGTTAAAGAAATATTTCATATTCAGATTTTTTTTATGCTGACATCATACCAGTGGTATCACCATCAAACAATACTCATTAATGTCTTGATCTGTAGTTTGCTTACCTGCAATTTTTTTTTCAAGCATTTTTAGACTCTCGAGTTATTCAAATGGTAGAGGAGATATGTCTAAATCCAGTTCATAATTCTCAGGTAGATGTGTCTCAATGAGCTACCTGTTTTGAGGGGTTCCACAAGGATCGTTTATGGTTGGGGTGTCTAGTTCCACTTAAATTGCTACCATGAAAGAAAGGGGTTCCAATAGTTGGCTCTATTTCTTTCTCTGTTGTGTAGTATTCTTCCACAGTTCAAGGATCTTCATCACTGTTACTTCCCTAGCTAGCTCCTTCAAAGTGTTTCACTGTCTCTATTTATTGTTGTGTTGATGATACCCATGAATTGTATTTTGTGTACCACTCAAAGAGTGACTTCTTGTGCTTACACTGAAAGTTCTGACCCATAACATATTTATGAGTCCTGACAAGAGTTCCAAAACTTGGGAATCACAGCAGGGCTCCTACTCTGATCTTGCAAAGGTTCTTAACTTTCTCACACTGCCATGGGATCTGTTCATTTTCCCCTTGGTACTGAGTCCTACAATAAGAATAATGGCTGTCTCCCACACCAAGTACAATGAAGTGTACCGAAGTTTTTACCCACTAAACTTTGCTGGCCATGCTTGAATATAACTCAGGGTGGTCAGGTAATTTCCCTGTAGGATTTGACACAGTAAAACCACTGTAAATTATGGTGGTTGATGGTTTGTAGAAAGCTTTTGCATGACAACAGACAATTACAGTGTTATGTGGAGACCGTCTTGTATCCAAACTCACCTTCTCTAGCTTCCATCTGTGAAGAGACAATCTATGCTTTCCTTGTTTTCACTCACCTGATGATTTCTGTGCAGTGAGCAGAACCTAATGTTATCTATACATGATATGCACAATAAATGTCACCATAACAACATAATTCAGAATCACAAAGATTTTTCTGCAGTGACACATCAGAGGTACTCTATATTACAGATGAAAACAAGTCTTTAGCTCATCTAAATCAGTAACTTTCTGCCAAGGCCATCAACAATAAGAGTGGCCAAGGAAAGAAGATGACTCACAAGAAATAGAAATTAAGAAATAATGTATTTAAGAGCCACAGATAGACATGGAGAGATCCAGATTAACTCTGTGAGTGACAGAGTAGCTCGAGTGACGACCATTGAAGTTTCTCCCTAGTGCACAGCATCCTCCGTCGGATGATGAATTGTTGCTTTGAGATGGATGCAACGACAAGGACAGGGACAAAGAACAATCATTGGTTTCCTCACTCTCCGCGAACTCATTGTTAAGCGGTGGGGATTTGTGTGACAGACATCCATTCTCGTATATCTCTATGGGCATCAACTCTTTTGCGGATGTGAGATACTGGTCACTCCAGACAGTAGCCTGCAAGGACCAAAGCTACAACATCATATGATTTCTTCATCTGATTTAGATCATGCACAATAGTCATAGCCTTGTACCAAGTTTAACACTGAACAACTACTAGCCACACTCATTCTTACTTAACCCAGATGTTTTCTGTGCTTTGCTTCGAAGTTTTTGATACCTGATTGCATGTCTACCACACAAAATGAAGCACTATTCAACTACCACCACCTTTCAATAATTTCAGTATTCAGTACTCCAATGAAGGACTTCTCAGTTAAAAGATTAATATGCATTCAGTCGAATTTTCACCTGTACCTGTTTGTCTTTGTCCTATTGAATCACATGGATGTGTTTGGAAAAGCAAAATGAATGTTTAGCACACTAGGATGCAATAGGGTGGTTCAGCTTTCCAATCAAAAGACTTGAGGGAGAAAGATGAGGTACAAAGTAGCCATGCATGTTCCCTGCAATCTATGGCTGTTGATCAAGTAGATAACTGGAAGAGAGGAACAAAGCTGGCAAAAACCAAGGGAGAAAGATAGAAACACAGTCTCTCTTGTTTTACCTTTAAAGGGTCAGATTCTTCCACCATGCATCCAGGAACTCTGAGCTTTGAAGAGTGATCAGCTGCCAAGTCCTCAGTCTGCTGACCCTCCTTCCTTTGCCAGCTAAAACCCTCCTCCTTTATTCCCCTATCCACAGCCAAGGCTTGCATGTAATTGTCAATCCAGTACTGGGAGGTGACTGCCTCACAGATTTGCTGGCTGCATTGCACACTCTTCTTGGAGCTGGGTTGTGCATCCAACCTGGACCTGTTAATACAATAAACAAAAGAACGGGGAGAGGATTAGCAAAAGGTGAGGGAAAAGGGTGCCCAGAAGAGACTTTGGATGTTGTCTTTATGTGCTGCTAACATGACTGATACTGCTTTAAGCTGGGATAAAGCTGGTAGCTTGCCAACCTTTTCAGAGAGGGAAGAGGAGAGTACAAGAACTGCGACTGGAACTCCTTAGTGGACTTCCAAGCGTGGCAAGAACCAACATCGTCTTGCTCATCAGGACCTTCATCATTGCTTTGGCATGAGTGCTTTCTTTCATGCAGCTCTGCTGGTGACAAGCAGATAAGAAGGGGCATTAGAGTCTCCTTTAGATCATATCCTTCTTTCACTTTATCCAACCAAACAGTCAACACAATGAACAGGCAAAAGGTGATGGAGAAGTTGATTCATGTGAAACAAAGAAAAAAAAAAAGACAGAAAAAAGAAACTAGAATTGCTGCTCAACCACGCCTTCTCCATCACATTATGCAAAGAAGGGAAACTTTCCCATGGGATCAATGCAAGTGTGACTTCCTTATCTCAGAGACTCATACGCTTTGTGATTATGAGTTACTGAGAACCGGAAAGTAGCTAATCACAGCTTCATGATCGAAGTAAAAGAACAAACAGTGAGCAGAAACTATGTCCATACCTTGCTTGCCCAAGTCATTCCTCATGCTTCTGTACATCTGATTAAAGCCGCACCAACCGTTGATCAGCAGCATGAAGAAAAATAAACAAGAAAAAAATGAAGCCTTAATTAAACGAAAACCTGGAGATGGCTCTTAACATGGGATATGGTTAGTCCTCTGACATCCATCAACTGAAGCACAAGCTTCGGCGTGGCCTCTGAGTGCAGCAGTATCAGAAAGTGTAACAAAGCATGAGCAAATGGTATAATCCGGGAAGTAAACAGGGGAGAAGCAGATACATACTGTCTTGGCCTCCAAGCTTTTCTATGGCATGAACAAAGCAGAGGTGGAGCTCAGGGGTCCATCTCAACCGAGGAACCTTGGATCGAACATACTGTCTCACAGCTCCATTCCTCCCACAATTCCCCATCTCGTGTAGACTTCAATCGAGAAGAACTATGCGTCTCCTACAAAATAAACTGCGAGGGAAGAACCAAACCGAGCTCTTTGGCTTCCTGATCACCGATCTCAATCCAGTGTTGTTTCCTACCGAAGATGCTCTCTTTCTCTCTTAACCTTCTTTGTGTGGTACTCTAGAGATAAATGCCTCTCAGGTTGCCTTGCACCATCTAACACGGCACTTCTTCGAGCTTCCTGAGCTACATGAGACCTCTAAATATCGTTGGGTCTGTCGAGGATTAGCACAACACTCAGTGTGGAAAGCCACGGATCACGAGAACGATTCACTATTGAGAGGAGGATTTAATGACCCTAGAGAGAGAGAGAGAGAGAGAGAGAGTAAG